TATATCAAGAAAGACATAATGGAATGCAGGAATAAAGACAATTTGAACTTCACAAACACCTAAAATTCCATTTCCAATAATCTCCTTTGTTTATTCTACTCTTAATCTAAAAGCCAGTCCTGGGACACTTTCTGACTTTGACCTTGTTAGAGCCAATTCATTATTAGTGGTGAAGGAGTTTGCAAGATAAAATATTGATGTTTTTAAAGCCTTACTAACAGTTTCCAGGTTTTCCAAATCAGATTCTCTTTTCTGTCCTTAAGCAACAATCCTTTGCATTGCTGGAAGCTCCTGCCTATGTCATTGTTGCTTTCCTGGGTCTCCATCTTTTCCATCCGTCTTCATTGGAATTTCAGAACTACTCTTGCTGTGACTCAGGGAACCCATCCACTAGGGCATCTAAACACTTTCTCTAATCTCATACAGTCCTTTACCCTCCGTACAATCCTCCCTGATATGCACAGCCCACAGGATTGAAGACCCTCAGTGCTTAAAGAAGCCACAATTTGAAAATAAAGTGCTCACAGCGGTGTATGGAATTGGTGAGAGCCAGATAACCATTAATGGTTACTATGTTGTGGCTGCCATCTGTAGTTTTGGAACCTCAAGACTAACCAGAGAGGAGTATGCTTGAAGTCAGGAGGCCCTTACCATAAGATATGGTCTAATAAGATATTCCGAACACTCTTAGCTATTTTTTGATGACTAAATTTATATGCTAATGTGCTCCATTAACAACATGTTGTTGAACAAAGGACTGCATAGTTGATACTGGCTTCATAAGATTTTATTGCCTAATGACATCATAAACCGTATAAACACACTCCCTGATGTTCACACAAAATCACCTAATGACTTAGATCTCAGGATGCATGCCCATAATTTTTTTTTTTTTTTTTAAAGTTTTTTTTTTTTTTTTTTTTTTTTTTTTTATTTTTTGACAGGCAGAGTGGACAGTGAGAGAGAGAGACAGAGAGAGAAAGGTCTTCCTTTGCCGTTGGTTCACCCTCCAATGGCCGCCGCTGCAGCCGGCGCACCGCGCTGATCCGATGGCAGGAGCCAGGATCCAGGTGCTTTTTCCTGGTCTCCCATGGGGTGCAGGGCCCAAGCACCTGGGCCATCCTCCACTGCACTCCCTGGCCATAGCAGAGAGCTGGCCTGGAAGAGGGGCAACCGGGACAGAATCCGGCACCCCAACCGGGACTAGAACCCGGTGTGCCGGCGCCGCAAGGCGGAGGATTAGCCTATTGAGCCACGGCGCCGGCCTGCATGCCCATAATTTTAAAAATTCATTTATTTATTTCAGTGAGAAAGTTGGAGTCTAGCGCTCAGTCTGCATCTCTGCCATCACTGCTGCCCTCTGCCTCCCCTCAGGGTATGCCATAGAAGGAAGCAGAAATCAGAATTGTGCTGGAACTCAAACCTAACACTCTGTTATGGCATGTGGGAGTTCCAACTGGTGGCTTAACCACTACGTCAAACTCTCACCTCTATATGGCATTTTCAAAAAATGTCTTTTAAAAAGTATGTCTTGTACTAACTAGAAAATGTAAGTGCCAAAATTCTAAAATATTATTTGATATGAGGGAAAGGGAAATTCAGAATTTGGAATGTACACTAAACACTTGTGATTTCAGGTTTAAAAAAATTAATGTCCTTAGAAAACTTAATGCTATAGAATTACTAGCTAAAAAAAAAAAAGACTTTTGCTAGTGAATTGCAGTTTATCTTTTACTTCCACATTTGTATTATTATCTTTATTCTTGAATTTTACATATGGAATAAATTTATGTATAAAATAGAAGTGAAACAGTTGACCATGTAATTTGTTCTTTGTAATTTAACAGAATTTCAGTACTAGGCAGACTTTAGAGAGTAGTAGTCTAGTAAGAAAAATGTGAAGCAATAGTTTCGTGGTATTTTAAATCAGATGAAGTATTAAATGTTTATAACAAAATGGGCCAGCGCCGTGGCTCAATAGGCTAATCCTCTGCCTGCAGCACCAGCACACTGGGTTCTAGCCCCAGTAGGGGCGCCAGATTCTGTCCCGATTGCTCCTCTTCCAGTCCAGCTCTCTGTTGTGGCCTGGCAGTGCAGTGGAAGATGGCCCAAGTCCTTGGGCCCTGCACCCACATGGGAGACCAGGAGAAGCACCTGGCTCCTGGCTTTGGATCAGCGCGGTGCGCTGGCTACAGCGCGCCGACTGCAGTGGCCATTTGGGGTTGAACCAACGGAAAAGGAAGATCTTTGTCTCTCTCTCTTTCACTGTCCACTCTGCCTGTCAAAAAAATAAAAATAATAAAAAAATGTCTATAACAAAATGAATGAGAGATGATAGAAGTCATGGAAAATATAGGGTCTCCTTAAGACCTGGCTTCGTGCTACTAGTGGGATGAAGAAATTAAACATAAATGGACATGTGTTCCCAACTTTAAAACATATCTTGTACAGTACATACTTTAATCTAGTTTATAATTTAGATTTATTGTGTCCACTAAAACCACAAAAGCAATGTTTAAATTTACAGTTTAACATCACACATAGGGAAATGTCTTACAAAATAGGATATGTTCCTTAATAAAAAATATACAGGCTAGGTCCCACACAACTCAGTTCAAGTAGTTTACCTGAACCACAGCGCTGTTGTGGAATGCAGGCAACAAGACACAGCAATGCTTTAAATAGCTGATTCAGATTTGAAGTTTGCCAAAGCTGAAGAGATGTTTTTAACAAGACCTGCTTTAGTTTTCCAAGATTTTCTTCTTCTTTCTACTTCACTATATGCCAACACTTCTGGAAAATTGAAGTTCATAAGCAGTTTGCATTTTACATCTTATAAATAGTGTGCAGATCTGCAATATTTTTCTATACCATGAAAGCATGTTTTAAGATTTTAAATTTTGGTTAAATCAACTTAGTTTTATTATTTGAATTTACTCACATAACCTAATGTAGGAATTTAATATTTGTGCAACTGCTTACATCAAATGGAGCATATTTCTGTAATCTGTTTAGTTTTCTGCACTGTCTATTTACAAAGCACATGCATGATTTCCTCTGACTAATAGGTCATTCCAAGATGTAGGCAGTGTTTGTCAACTGTTAATGGTAGCAAAATGAACCCATATTTGTCAAGCCTGGCTGTATAATATAAAAACATCACCCAGAGACTATATTTCTTAAATCAAAAGTGTAGCGTCACAAAGTTACATAACAATATGAACTTCTAAATATACTCTCAGTATAGGTAGCAATGTTTGTAATATATTGTAAGTTGTGAAACAAAAGGCTGAGAGATGCCGTCAGTAATGTTTACAAAAATATTGCAAAACTTAAAGTCAGGCCAAATGTGCACAGATATTTAAATGGAGTAGTGAGAGCTTAGTAAATACTGAAACATAACTTTTAAACCTGACTGTGGCCTGACACTCTTCAACTTTTGATAATAGCTTAATTGTCTTTAGAATATGTATAGTTTATATTGCTTGCCACAGTTGGTCAGAATGACCACTGAATGTGCTTATTTTCCAAACTTTGAGTATCAAGTTGCACCCAGCTTTAACAAAAACCTGAGAGGTCATTCTTAAAAGTTATTAAATCACTTAGAAAGAAATAGTAATTCAAAAATGTTGCATTTAACAGTTGACCACTGATGATATTAGCACCTTAATAGGAATTACAACTGACTGTTGGATGTGCCAAACAATCAGGAAAAATGTATGCACTATTGTACTTACAAATCACAGTTTTCCTCCCAGTGTTAGACTTCGGGTCATTCCGATGTGGCATTGCCTTATAGGATGATGGGATATTAATTCATTTTTTTCACTTGACCTATGCAATCTACATGGACTACTTAGTGGAAGTATATGATTAAAATAGAAATAGAAAAATTATTTCTAAAGTGGTGTTATATTAATAAGATGCAATTAACTAGGTTAACTAATGTGCACTTCTAAGTCTTATGCTAAAGTCTTTCAAAACCAGTGTCTTTGTATTTCTTTATTTCTTCCACAAAACCTGCATGGACAATTATATAACATGGTATCAAAGAGATAATTGCCAGATTATTTAATCCGCTTTCTGAGGTGAATACCACCCATATTCCCATTTTCAGTTGTGTAAATACATGGTTTCATATTTCAATATGTTCCCATACATCAGTTGAATAGAGCACAATTACACATTACAGACTAATGTGCTTCATGAAGATATAACTAGATAAGTCATTTCTATAGTTCATGCTAACATGGGCTATTCAGCAATTAGGTTGATCTGTTTATTTTGTAATCTACAACTACAAATTGTTGGCAAATGAGAAAAATTAATAGCGAAAATATCCAAGTTTTTTTCTGTGTCTAAATGATAAACTATTTTGAATTTGTCTCTATTATAACTTTAGATGACCATTTCAGTGGTCGTCTATTTTGTATCTTTGAAATGTTCAAAAATATAAAGTTATTTGTTTGGCTTGAAGTTTAACTATGAATATATTAGTAATATTCCCAATTGGGCCAGTGAGATTTCACACTCAGCCATAGACTGCTAGCAAGTGTCACCATTATTAAACATGACCTTACTGTACAAATTGTGACCCCTGAGTCACAGCACAAGTACTGGACTTCTGAATCTAGTGGCTGTTCTCATCCAAATCATTACAATAAGCTTGTTTAAAAGGGAGAAGTTGATAGGAAAACATCAGAACCAGAGATGGACCCAGTGCATTGTGCTGTGAGGCAAAGGTGCTCTGTCTTATTCTTGTAATCAGACAACTAAATTATAGTCGGAGGCAAATTGGTATTATCAGACATGTCCCTACCTGTCCCAAGTTGAATCACCACTCCAGGGGATTTAATAGTAGCAATAAAAAGTCACATTCTATCAATGAACACACCATATTTGGAAACAGTTATGATTACTAACATCTGAATCATACGAATCCATTTGTTTGTAATCATCTATGGAATTCTACAGATACTAGGGAATAAATGATATTAAAGTTATTAAGTGTTTCAAAAGCAGCAGAAGACAAGTTTTATTATAATTTACATAACTCAGAGGTGTGTGTACACAAATTTTACATAATACATCAATAGCTTCTTGTCTAGATTACTCAATGAAGTGCGTGGACCTGATTCTTGACTGTGCTACAGCTACTATGGGAAGCTTTCTAAATGCTCAAGTTTAAAACCTGCACCTTAAATGATCAAATACATGTTTCTGTTATCTGTGACTTTGAAAAATTAATGTTAATGGTATTGAAAATACCTATTAACATAGCTACAAGTAATGAACACTACTATTCATGAATGATTAAATTTAAAATTTCCTTAGAAAGGAAAATGATAGTATCAGTAAAGATACATGAAGAATTATATATACATATACACCTGTTTCACACAGAAAGCTTTCTGTAAAAAAATACAAAAGCAACCAGTGTTGTATATTATGTAAACTCACAAAGTGTACTTTATACACAAACATGAAGCATAAATTAAAAGGTAGGACAATAGCAAAACATTTTAAATATAGAAGAATTTGCACATATTTTGTTAAATAAGAATAAATAATTTTATCACACAAATTCACATACAAGTTGCAAAAACAATAAATTACTTTTTTTCAGTGCTGCAACTTTTTTCTCAATTGTGATTCACCCCTTAATTCTTAGATTAATGGGATAAAACTGTTTCCACAGGAAGGCAAAGGAAGTTGAATTTGTTGAATAAGTTACAACAATGCCCTTGTACCTCTAAAGACCAAAGAAGGGCTTACTTTAATCTTTTCCATTCTAGAATAAATACTGAGCTCTCCTGGACTTCGTTTGTAATTGAGATTGACTTTTTATAAACCTGAGCATTTTCAAATATTTTTTTCTTAAGGAAGTAGTCCCTAGCATCTTGAATTGCAGACTTTTTAAAAATTCAAGATGCAACTTTGAGAAGGTGAAAGATGTAGTACCAAGTCAAACTGGACTGAACTGGATTGAGCTATGGAGGATTTCCACCTTGTTTATTACTCTTCATATTTATTGATCATTCTATTTATTTGAATTTCAGTTTCAAGTTTGTCATTTTTCTCAGAAGTTCATGCATACATTCCTTGGTCAATTTAGTGATAATCACAACAAAAAAAAAAGTAGAGAAAACTCTTTAAAAACATGGAGTAGTGGTTTATTGTTCTAAGTTCTTTAGGATTATTTCAATGAGAAGTGTACAACTTCATTACTTTGGGGAAAAGATATCATTAATAAATCCTTTGAAAATTTTATGAATACAGTTGTAGAGAAGTAGAGTAGAAGACAATCATGTTTACCTTTCAATTTTTTAATATTGTTGAAATTTTAATCTCAAAAGATAAAAATAAATGTTGGCACATTTAAGTTACTTGATTTAAATTATTTTCAAAGCTAGAAAAACTAAGATTGACCTCTGTACTAATTCTCTTTGCATGGTCAAAAGGTCTATGAGGTTTATTCAATAGTTCTTTTCTCTCTCTCTCATTCTTTTTTCTTTCTTACTTTCTTTCTGTCTTTCTTTCTTGTTAACCAAGTTGGTCAGCTTTTATCCCTGTCCTTGGTATCTGGCTAGCTCCATCTAATATGGGTTACCAGTCCTGTAATGGATCTCATTTCTCAAACTGTAAATTGTTAAGAAAACATTACCATGTCTAAAACAAAGTCAATGTATGAAAATGTAAAGGATGACTACTGATTTTGTATTCTTAAGAGAATAAAATGTACTAAAATTTCTTAAGAAAATAAGAAGTGCTTAAAACAGTGAGATCCATTTTTCTGCCCCACTTAAATGAACTTGATATAGCAAGACTAATTACATAATTATTTTATATTAAAGGATTTTATAATAAAAATAAACTCTCATGAGTTCAGTGGAACCCAAAACAATGGTTTCTTATCAACCTTGTATGCACATCTTTAACAATAGGCACATTTGGTATTATTATCAAATTTTATTTTTTAAAAATTAGTTTTGTGGCATTTCACGAAGAAAATGAAATCTGAAAAAATGAAACACCTAACATTTTCTGAGCTACAGAGTGGAGGGGAAGCAGTTTACCATCAAAAAATAAATTTTTAATGCATATGATGATAAAAAATTTCAATTTCTAACTATTTGAACTTAGAACTCACTTAGATGGAAATAAAAGCAACAAACTTCCTAACAAATGTGATAGAAAATTATTTCATATTTCATCCTTCAAACACTGTCTGATACAGCCAAATGCTTTCCATTTGGGGGAAATTGCTAGTACAGTAAGAATATACTTGCAGTAAAAATAATTGAGGAATTATTGCCTATGGTGTGGAAACAGTCTTATTAATATTAACCACTGATTTTTGCATTAACCACATTAATGATGATAACCACTTTTAGATGTGGTTAACTACCAAATGATCTTTAATATTCCTATTAAACCAAGTCAGCAAGTACAAATTATGGTAGGTCTTATGGAATCAATGAACAAAACGAACAAGTACATGAAAACAAAGACATTTTAAAGGCTTACTGGTAAGATGTGTACCAGTGTTGAAAGTGTTGGATATGATAGAAAACTCTTTGCTGTGTGTTTTGTATCTATCTATATTACACATTGTAAAATATCAGCTGAGAGCCAAAGAGAGAAAAAGCAGTTGTGAACACATAAATTGACAATATGGTGAAATAGATGTTTTCTCTTTTACAATCCAACATAAGGAGTCTAACTTTTAGACTGTTGAATACTGATCACATACACACACACACGCACACACACACACACACACTACTTCTACATCCTGACTATGCATTAATTTGGCTAACTGTCTGGAATAAATACAGTCACAAGTTCGAGTAAATGGACCCATGTATGTATTTAAATGACTAGATACACTGAGATCCTTTCTCTTTTCAAAATTTCTCAGAAGATGATTGCTGTCAAAGTGGTTTTTGACTTAAATTTATCTCCTGTAGTCAGCAAATGCATTAAATCTTATTAAAACAGCAGCAAGTCCTTAATTTCCAGTAAAACATCCACAGCTCTTTCTGGAAATTAGAAGGGATTGAAATAGCTGCAGACCTACTTTGGTCAAATATTTTCTATAGAAATATATATATATATATATTAATAGAACCAAGTGATATAAAGTGACATATCAAGGGAGAATGTATTTACAAACAGTAAAAATAAGCTACTGTGTGTCATGGGTGACAATGATTATGATGCCTTTAAAGACATTCTATAGAGGTAGGTGACAAAGGGGAGACTTCTTCCATCTTCAAACGTCCCCTGAATCTACATTCATCACTGCTTCTTTTTCTTTTCATTCTAGCAGGCCCAGGGGATAGTCAATAACTCCCAAGTTTTTCTATATTCCAAGGTCACCGTTGTCACATAAAGCAGTGCACATCTTCATTTGGTCGCGGAGAGCAGATTCTGCCCATAATTCGACTCCTGTTGACAATGACACTGAAGCATGACTCTCTGTGCATTAGGTAGACCTCTCATTCACCACTCTTGGATCTGTGATGAATCCTCCAGTTACATTTGTGCATAAGAGCATAACCACAGGCTAACATTTCTTTAGCAGACACTGCTTAAAAGCAGAAGGCCTCTGAGATAGGAGACATCCCTTTGCTAACTTCCGGTTTCCATCCTGGCACTGCACCGTCCTAGTGTGCCAGCCCGTGTCACAGGTCCTAGAACAGGCGAGCCATGGGCCTGTCACCCACTGCAGCTGTGACGTATGTGATACCACTTTATTGCTGCCATGGTTAGTGACAGAGTTTAGATTTTGAGTGGACTTCTTGGGAACAAAAAAACTGTATCGGACGTCTAATGCTTTAGTTGGGTCCGTTGCAAGAATTTGCACTATCAGGATTTCCTTTGTGGCTGAGTAGCCCATACCATGTAGAAAGTCATCTCTGTGGCTCCAACCACTGTAGTTCATGACTGTTCCATTGATGTCAATGATGGTCTCTGAAGTGGAGATCATGTACTTCCCATTGATAAGGTACTCACCATTTTTCTTCTTCAAGGCTAAGTAGGCAGTAAATCTAGTCTGGTCTTTGGCTTTGAACTGTCGAACCTTGATGTGGGTTGCCCCTTCTGGAATCCTCACAACATCGGTGTAGCCCTTACTGATGGCAGGAATTGTGTCCACAGGGGAGGGAAAGAGTGGGTTGGGGTGGAGAGGAAAGAAATAACATTGAACAAATGACTGAACAAACAAATTCTCCAAAAAGTGTTCCCTGACACAAATTATTAATGCATTTAAGAAATACGCTTAAATTTGGCTTTAGAAATTGATTTTCTTATGACAAAATATAGTTACAGTTAGACTATTGTATACAATTATTGGCATGTTTAAAGTTAGAATGGGAGCTGGCACTGTGGCGTAGCAGGTAAAGTTGCCATCGGCAGTGCCAACATCCCATCTAGGAGCTGGTTCGAATCCCGGCTGCTCCACTTCTGATCCAGCTCTCTGCTATAGCCTGGGAAAGCAGTAGAAGATGGCCAAAGTCCTTGGGTCCCTGCACCCTCATGGGAGACCTGGAAGAAACTCTTGGCTCCTGCCTTTGGATTGTTACAGCTCCAGCCATTGTGGCCATCAGGGGAGTGAACCAGTGGATGGAGGACCTCTCACTTTCTCTCTCTCTCTCTCTCTCTCTCTCTCTCTCTCTCTCCCCTCAGCCTCTGCCTTTCTGCCTCTGCCTCTCTATAACTCTGCCTTTCAAGTAAATAAATAAAAAAAACTTCAACAAAAGAGATGACATTAATAGTTGCTTTTTTTTTTTTTTGACAGGCAGAGTGGACAGTGAGAGAGAGAGAAACAGAGAGAAAGGTCTTCCTTTTGCCGTTGGTTTACCCTCCAATGGCCGCCGCGGCCAGCATGCTGCGGCTGGCACACCGTGCTGATCCGAAGCCAGGAGCCAGGTACTTATCCTGGTCTCCCATGGGGTGCAGGGCCCAAGTACTTGGGCCATCCTCCACTGCACTCCTGGGCCACAGCAGAGAGCTGGCCTGGAAGAGGGGCAACCGGGACAGAATCCGGCGCCCCGACCGGGACTAGAACCCAGTGTGTCTGCGCTGCAAGGCGGAGGATTAGCCTAGTGAGCCACGGCGCCGGCCAATAGTTGCTTTTATCTTCAAAATTTATCACAACTGTATTTAAAGATTTATACAAGCACTAGCATTTTTTTTTTTTATCAAATCCTACCATCTTTACAAAGCTACTTTATGTTCTTCTTCACATCAGGTTTCACATGTAAACACAAGCTGACAAAATCTGCCCTCATTAATATCAAACAAATTTTTTAATATTTCTCTCAAACTTTTACACATTGGAATCACCTGAAGCTATCAGAAACATTCCAACACCATACGCCACACCAATTACATTCCCAATTTCAACATGGGTAGCACTGTTCCAATGTGTACATTAATTTGCGACGATGGATTCTAAAAGTTTCTTGGACTAGCTGCAGGATAGAGGCTTTATTTCCATTTCCACTGAAAGTCTGGGATTTACGAGACAGAAAATTCAATGGAACAGAAGATTATATAATTGGGTAATAACATCTTACTAAACTTACCAAAAAATTAATATTATCTGAGCAGAGTTTCCTGAAGGCTTAGTTCCCATGAGATACCACAATAAATTCCATAAGGCTTTACCATGAGTGACAAATAGATCTCCAAAGATCCATCACCTTTTCAGAGGAATGGGCCAATACATTAATATCTCTAACACCCATGAATCTGTGGCAAATGCCAGGGTTGAAATACTAGTTAAGCATCAAAGAACTATTGCAGTTAGAAAGAATCCTCTTTTGTCAGATCTTTGCTTTATAAATCATTTCATAATAAGGACTTCTACATGTCTTACTTTTTGAATTAGATGATATGCATATAGACAGTTTGAAGCCACAGTGGCTTCAAACAGTCAACACTGGGATCATGGAGAAAATATCACATCTCCTACACAAAGAATACCAAGTTGCAACGGAGAAATGTGTTTGAACAGGTTCACTCACTCCAGAGCTCATTAGTGGCAGTGTGAGGCTTAACTGCTGGACCTCTTGACTCCCAATCTGTTCCTTTCAGTGTGCCCGGATGCATGAGATCTTTGCTTTGCCAGACAGATTTTATAGCAGTCAAATGAAAATAAGTTCTGGTTGCATGCAGAGTTTGAGTGATAAGAAGCAAGGAAAGAAGGAAGGAGCAAGGAAAAGAAAGAAGAAAGGTAATGGAATAGGGCAAGAGAACTTTCCAATTTTTAATGCTGATTCTTACAGCCTGTCTCACACGGATGAAAGTCACTAAGGGCATCAGCATTGCAGTGGGTCTTCAAAATGAGTTTCACGAGGCATCAATAAATCTGAGGCTGGTGCTCTGATTTCCTAGTGCCTTAGTAAAGGATGATTGCATTTCTTATTCCCTATCTTTATACTCTGCATGGTAGCATTTCAATTTGAGACAGTAATTGGCTCCCTGGCTATAATAAATGAATCCCACTGCCTTCATACTATAAAGGATGGCTGGCAAGGCAGGGAACTCTTGTATTGTTCAGGGCTATCTGCACAGGACCATGCACCATGCCTGCCATGGAGGAATATCTTCTTCATATTCATAATGCTTTCATGGAAGCAAAACTTTAGTGGGGGTGGTCAGATCTCTACCTCTCCCTACCAAAACAAATCTGTGGTTTGTATTGACTGATCAGAATTCTGAAGAAAGAGAACAGGGTAAAAATGGAGAGCAATAGTGGGGATGGGAGAGAGATCCTTCAATTCATTTAGGGTAGTCATCATCAGTGAGGGGACACTTAGCAGGGACCTACAGAAACCCAAAGCGAACACTGATTATTAATTAAGGAAAAGTGATCCAGGCAGAGGGCACAGCATTCACCTGCCAGGGCCCATGTTTGAGAGGTGGCAGGCTGTCCAATGTGGTTGAAGCAAAGTAAGTGACAAGGACATGCTGAAGACACACACAGCAGAGCAGGGGACAAATAAACTCTCTTGTACCTCTCGGGTTACAAAAAAGTCTTGGACATTGACTTTAAGCAAGATGGAAGCCACTGGAGGGCACAGGGCCTGATTAGAAATAAAGTGTTAGCTATCCTTACCTACTGATGGGGACTTGGGGCTGGGAGATAGTGAGGAGGAGCTGCGTTGGGCCAAGTAAGAGCTAATGATCATTTGGATGAAGTGTCCTGGTCACAGTGGTGAGGGCGACCAGATTCTGGATACAAAGTGGAAATAAAGCTGGCAGAATTTGATGTATGGATGTGGGGTGTGAGAGCAAATGAGAGGTGAATGGTAACGAAAGAACTGGGCTTATGTAACAGGACTGAATGCCATTTACTGAGATGGGGAAAATTAAGGAAGGAGTGATTTAAGTTTAGGATCATATCTGTGATGGGTATAAGCTTAGCAAAATATTTAAATATGTATTACCTTGCTTAACCCTTGTAATCAATTTTATTAATTACAGTATAATTACTATTATTTCCATTCTACCTTTGAGAAATCTCATGGTAAAGATACTACATGAGTCCTCAAGGGTCATGTGACTAGCAAATTATTCAATCAGAGGCTGGTTGCAAATATTCCAGTCCCAAGATCCTTGAATAGGTCATTTGTCCCACATGCATAATCTTGGCCATTTTGCAAGTGCTTACATTGCACACCATTGGTTGCTATCATAGATTTCTTCCTCTTTTCATGTGACAGCAAATATGCAGGTGTTACTTGTTAGCAAACTTAGGCATAGCATTTTGAAAAGTGACTGACAATTTTGTGTAGAAAAAAATACATAGCATATGATATATGAGATAGTACTTTTATTTTATATTTTATTCCTAAACTGGTTACTGAATTTTTTTCTTTTTCTTTTTCAGTCTTTCCCCTTCCTCTCTTTCTCCTTCCTTCCTCCCTTCCTCCCTTCCTCCCTTCCTCCCTTGTCCTTCCTCCTTTCCTTTATCTTTTTACAAAATGTCTTGTGCATCCTGTGACTTAGGTGACAGCCTCTGCCCTGCTCTGACGTTCATCAGTTGTGCACCACCTATAAAGGCCTAAACCTGAAGAGTCTCAGTTTTCTAATTTGTAAAGCAAAAGGTTGGACATAGATCATCTCTAATGTGACTTGCGCTTGGAATGTGTAAAAATGCAAGTTGTAATTGAGAGATGCAGGATTTTTGACATAGATGGTCCAACACAATGAAATGAATAACTTGCATTAGCAAGTAAGATGTAATACATATTTTAACTCAGAATAACTTCTTTAGCCATGGATTTTTAAATATTAGATCAAATGTCATGACCAGTTTTTATGTTAATGACATAAAATTTCTATTATTAACATAACACACAAAGAAGTTTTTAAAAAATAAGTCCTTATTATCAATGTGGTTTGCATATTACTCTCAAGTTACCCACCACGTGGTACTTACACTCAGCCAGTGCCAATCAGCATGACAGTGATAGTACTAAGGAAACAAACAACTCTGTATTCTATGGGATTCTGTAGAGAACTCAGCCCTTTGGCTGACAGCACAATGTTTTATGCCAGAAGCTTAAAAAATGTACATATTTAAAGCATATTTGTAGGACCATGAGAGGAAGTAGCAGATAGTCATGGCTGCGTATATTTCTCTATAGTATAGCCATAAACCAGAGTAGTCCACTATAAAACAGGATTGTTGCCCACACCACTGTAATTAATTTCTCCAAGAGAAATGTTTTCTTCAGAACAAAACATACTAATGAGAATCCATTTGTTAAAAAAAATTAGTTAAGATATAAATCAGCCATTCTTTCATGAACTGTGTTTCAGGAATCATACATCTGCAAGATATCACTAAAATAGAATGCCACCCACTTTTTCTTTTCAGTTTTTTGACTATGCAAGACTTTAACCCTCACAGCCATTGTAGTTTCCTGGAGGCACCACAAGTGTCCAACCAGAGCTGTATGCATCTCCTCTCATTCCTGATTCATCTCCTCTCATTCCAGTCTCATATTCATTCTGTGTTACCAGAATCACATTAGACGTCCTCCTATAGAGAGCTTACGATGTAATATGAACCCCCTTTATCAGTTTTGCAAGAGTCGATGAAGTTCTGCTGGAGTCACGTAAGGGCAAGAGTTCTACCAATTACCTTTTTTTATTGAAGGTTCCAATAATCTTTGTACAACTGGAGTTGTCTCCTCCACATACTCCACACTTGTCATAATGAAGCTTTGAGCCAATAATGCCATCGCAGCCGGTTCGCACACACCTCCCTCGCACGCAAACGGAATTACTGTATGGCCTGCATTCAGTTCCATCTGTCACCTGAAGCACGACACACATATTAGCCGTGGGCAATATTTTGTTCCTTTGGTAAACAAAACAATTCTATTTGTGATTTTTGAGTTTTAGTGAACTAGATAGGATATGGATGAATAAACAAGCAAACAACAGCAACTGCATAGTTTCCAGGGGTCTCTAACAGAAAAATCCTTGACATACTGGGAGAAAGAAGATCTGGGAGAAGTCTAGGTTGCACACTTTCTCCCTTCAACTTAATTTACATCCTACTTAATTCCCAGGGTGCTGGGAGATCCAACGTGCTCATCTCCCTTTCTGCATACTTGTTCCCACAGCAGAAATCTTGGCTGTCTACCTTGATAGAAGCAGTCTTCTCACTTAGTGTTTCTGATTATCATCTGTGTGGAGTATACATAAGTGGGTCCAACAAGCCAAGGTCCTTCTTTGTTGCAGAAGTGTATTAGAGTAACGCATTTGAAATTCTAAACCTGACATTCAAAACCATGTCATGGTTGGAAGGCATTCCCTATTTGTAGGTTGACATGTTAGACACTGAAATAGGGTCCAATTAGTAGAAACAGGAGCATGGAGAAGTCAGAAAAAATATTTACTGGAAAAGATTCAACAGAGGATGAAAAAAAGAATATGCATATATTATAGTTAAAAAGCCAGTTGTAAAATAGTATGTAAATGAATTGTTCGTTGTTTGGGCATATGAGTATATATAAAAGTTGCAAAGTGATCTTTGCAGAACTATACAAATGTACTTCAAAAATTTGTGGAAAACTGGAATAAAAAGACAAGGTAATTTGGTGCAAAACTTTTTGAAATTTCTACATAGTTTTTTATAATACGCATTTTTCTTGAACTTTTCCAATACACCTCATCTGCACTGACATATAAATAAGCATATGTATCTTACACTCATGAATACATGAAAACTGCTTTTCATACATGTGTGTGAGCAGATGAATGACTGCATATTTGCATGTAAATTATAGATCATATTTCAACAGGTTAGCAGCTCCCCAGATGATGGTATATCCAGTTAATATTTTTATTTCCCTGTGATAATTCAAATGAAAATGTATTATTTTTAATAGAAAGATACAATATTTTACAAGTTGCATAAGCTGAGCAGTAGCTTCTTTTTCAATACCGTGTTATAAATATATGAATACTAGTTTTAGGAGAGTTTTAAATGTAGCAACTGTTTGAAAACTAGATCAATAATACTTTAACTACTATAAATTATTGCATAATATTGAGAGCAAGAAAATAATTGAAGTATATTTAAAAACATTTTTAAAAGTATATCAAAAATATCTCTTGTAAAAGACAAGGGATAACTTCACACAAATTTTTGATGAACCCTCATAATAAATTTAAAATGTTTTGCACCTAAATAAACTTATGTTCTGGGGCTGGCACTGTGGTGTAGTGAGTAAAGGCTCTGCCTGCAGTGCCAGCAACCCATATGGGTGCCGGTTGGAGTCCCAGCTGCTCCACTTCTGATCAAGCTCTCTGCTATGGCCCAAGTCCTTGGGCCCCTGTACCCACATGTGGGACCCAAAGGAGGCTCCTGGCTTTCGGATCGGCACAGCCCCCGGCCGTTGTGGCCAGTTGGGGAGTGAACCAGCAAATGGAAGACCTCTCTCTCTCTCTCTGCCTCTCCTTCTCTCTCTGGAAATCTGACTTTCAAATAAAATAAATAAATCTTTAAGAAAAAAGTTTATATTATTATTCCATTTTCTGTGAACATTTTGAATCTGCCTTGTATGTGGCATATAACTAGAGGGACACTAACTTATTTTAAGGGTGGAAGACTTATTCAAAAGTCTGGGTCCAGATGATGATTTTTTTTTCATGTTCTTTTTTTTTTTTTTTTGAAGGTTTTTGTTTTGTTTTGTTTTGTTTTGTTTTTGTTTTTTGACAGGCAGAGTGGACAGTGAGAGAGAGAGACAGACAGAAAGGTCTTCCTTTGCCGTTGGTTCACCCTCCAATGGCCGCCACGGCCGGTGCACCGCGCTGATCCGAAGGCAGGAGCCAGGTACTTATCCTGGTCTCCCATGGGGTGCAGGGCCCAAGTACTTGGGCCATCCTCCACTGCACTGCCGGGCCACAGCAGAGAGCTGGCCTGGAAGAGGGGCAACCGGGACAGAATCCGGCGCCCAGACCGGGACTAGAACCCAGTGTGCTGGCGCCGCAAGGTGGAGGATTAGCCTAGTGAGCCGCGGCGCCGGAGAGATGATGATCTTGAAACCCATCTTCATGATGTATGAAGGGAGCCTTAAGTAAATGACAGAAAAAGAGAAAGCTTTCTTGCTCTATAGTCACTTAGGCAATTCTAGATATTTCCATGGCTATTTTGAAGGTACAGTAACATTCTACCTTCTTTGACAGTTAGTTATGCTTTTCAAAAATAGCCTTTAAAACATTTACTTATTCTGTTTATAAAATAATTTTTATTCATTGTGTAAAGTTTGAAAATATAGAAATTATAGAGGTGAAAATAAAAATCTTCCAAAATACTAACCACCCCCAAAATATAGTGGCTGCTCGTGTGTGACGTTTGCAGGCTTCCTTCTACCAAATAATTTCCACAGAGGATGCCTTCTGCTGGTGGACAGTCAGGGTGTACTTACCTTTGGCGAGAAGACCACGTAGTAGCCAGTGCCCTTGGCTCTGCAGGTCAGTTTGCACACATCTGCTGGCAGGACGCCTGCATATTTGGGAACCCATTCCACAAATGTTTTGACTCCTTTTGCATCAGATTGATAGCCATTTTTGGCTTCACATTGTTCATGTCGAAAAGATTTACCTAGAACCAAACACATCACAATATTACTTTATCTGTTCTGAAATTTCAACATTTAAATAGTTAATTTTAAGGAGAAGATGCTAACATTTCAAAAAAAAAAAATGTAGAGCCTCTTAATTCACCCGTGTTGAATTTTATCTATACATGGGTTCAAAATGATGACTATTTTCTGTTGTCACCTGAATACCTAAATTATAACTTAATCAATTTAGGAATCATTCACATATTTGTTATTGATTTGCACCTTGGCAGAATTGTGCACTATAAGATTAATGCTATTTCTTCAGCCTCCCCTATTTATTAATGCTAGAATAGAAACTATATGCGCACATGTTGCTTATTGACACTTGGGAGCAACATACCATTGGCTGGGCAGGGCGTGACACTGCACGAGCGGTAGATGGCCCTCTTCCCTGTGCAGTAGCGGCCACTGTTTCTGGGTGCAGGGTTATTGCAGTGGCGATAGGCAAACTGTACTCCTCCCCCACAAGAGCGAGAACACTGGCCCCAGGGACCCCAGGACCCCCAGTTTCCATGACTTGATGTCTGTAATAGAAAACAGAAACCATTTTAACTCAGGAGGAAAGCTTCCAGTATGTCCCTTTGGAAGTCGCTTGCGTGTAAAGATGCATAGAAATCTCATGACAGATAGGAGCGCATCTCAAAAAGTTCATGGAAAATAGAATTAAATGGCAAGTTTGCATTTTTGTAAAAGCATTGAAACCCATGCATACAGGAGGTCTTCAGAAAGTTTACAAAAATGCATATTATGGAAAAACTATGTAGGGACTTCAAAATCTTATGCACCAAAATGAATTTATCTTTTAATTCATTTTTCCCATGATCTTTTTGAAGTGCCCTCTTGCAGTTATATTTCTACCACACTGAGCACAGCCATGCTCTGGAATTGCAGTGTGTTTCCAATTCTAACCAATTCATCCCCTCTCACACCCCTCACACCCAGCACAAGTGGATCGGAAAGCATCGTCCTAAGTATGCACTGAACAAACTGCCAAGATTACCTCCGAGCCATTTGACGTTATGCCTTCTAGTAGTGTATGTCTCTGCTAACAATCTCTGGGTCATGGTATGTCTGTCCATTTAGCTAAAGTTATTGAATTTATTTGAAAGGCAGAAAGATGGGGTTTGGGGGGAGAGGAGAGGAGAAGAGGGGACAGGAGAGGAGGGGGAGGAAAGGAGAGGGAGAACAGAGAGATATCACCTAGCTTTGATTTCATTCTCAACATGCCCGTAATAACCAGGCCAAAGCAGAAGCCATGGGTGGGATCTCAATCCAGGTTTCCCATGTGGATGGCAAGGACCCAAGTGGACCATTACCAGTAAATCTGAATCAAAAACAGAGCCAGAACTCCAACCTAGGCACTCAGATAGGGGATGTGGGCTTCCCAGGTGACAACTTAACTGCTGTGCCAAGTGCTTGCCCTAAGATCTTGGATCTTTAACATAATGTATATGGAAGAAACTTGTGTGGGATGGCTGGTATTTTTTGTGTTTGCATCTCTTTCTCCCTCACCAGCACTAAATTTTTTCAGTTCCTTTGTTGACATCACATATCCTGTCTATAACAGGCCTTCTGCTCCATACATAAATGTATTTGAGCTGGGTTTGGCTAAGTAATTAGGTGCGACAGATACTGCAGGCACATGCACACCACAGGGAACACCTCAGGTCTGTACTCTGGATACACTGCAGGATGACACTGCGGGACTCCAAAGGGTGGAATATTGCAAGCTGCTTTGCCAAGGGAGTACACACAGAACTGCCCTGACAGCCAGGGCTGGGATATTGGGAGAGCAGGTAAAGAGCATATAGAAACACTCTTCCAGAAACTCGCAAGTCTCATACATGAGAGTAAACCCACATTTTGTTCAGACCAGAAAGGTCTTAACACTTGTGGACCTGAAATTGGACTGTGCGTTGGGTGGAAGACTTGTTTCCCTGAGGTAGCCATAGGTTACCCTAGCTGCTTCAGTTAGGTTAACTTGCTATCAGAGGGACAAGTTGACCATTTTGGAGCTGACTTATTATATATGAAGACCGTCAGCTCTGCTATTATTTAGTGGACTGTTAAGTAAATGTATTTTGGGGTGGGTATTTGGCTCAGCAGTTAAGACTTCTTTTGGGCCGGCGCCACGGCTCAATAGGCTAATCCTATGCCTAGCAGTGCCAGCACACGGGGTTCTAGTCCCGGTCGGGGCGCCGGATTCTGTCCCGGTTGTCCCTCTTCCAGGCCAGCTCTCTGCTGTGGCCAGGGAGTGCAGTGGAGGATGGCCCAAGTGCTTGGGCCCTGCACCCCATGGGAGACCAGGAGAAGCACCTGGCTCCTGCCTTCGGATCAGCGCGGTGCTTGCATTTGAATTTGAGTTCTAGCTCCACTTTCAATCCAGCTTCTTGCTCATGATCACCCTGGGAGGCAGCAGGTGGCTCAAGTGTTTGGGTCCCTGACCCCACACGGAGAATGGAGACCTGGGTTGAGTTCCTGTCTCCTGGATTCACCCTGGCCCAGTGCTGGCTGTTGCAAGAATTTGTTAATCAGCAGATGGGAGATTCTCATATTTATCCTCTCTCTCTTTCTCTCTCTCTCATTTCTCTGCTTTTCAAATAAATAAATTTTAAAAATTAAACAAATGTATTCTGATAACTTTAGCAAGAGAAATTCAAAAGCAAGATTTCACAAAAACAGTTTTAAGGGCCATATTTGAGGTCTCAATTAGACAGAATTCAGGTTATAGTATTTATTTGTAAAAGAGTATAAGCTGTATAGAAATCTCTGTTATTTGCATTTTCTCCAATATTTGATTATTGAGAACGGTGGCTGTGGGGCAAAGTGAAGTTGTAAATGGATCTATAAGTGGAATATATGTTAATTAAGACATGCAAGGCTACTTCATAGGACATCATCAAAACTAGAACTAAAAGATAAATGTATTTTGGTGCAAAAGGTTTGAAACTTATGGAAACAAGAAGTATTCAAAGAGTTCATGGAAAATGCACATTATGAAAAGGATATGTATGATTTCAAAAAAAGTTTTTGCACCAACATAAGATTATCATTTTATTGTATTTCATGAAGCTAATGACAGTGTCTATGCATGCCCCAGGAATGCACACTTCCCGACTTGGATCTCTAGTCACTGGGTGACAAGAAAATCACTTACTGAGTAATACTTCTTCTTGGTCTTGTCCACACACTTGCCCTGCAGGCAGATCCTGCCTTTCCCACAGGGTGTGCCCTCCACGGCGGGCAGCTTCTTGGTGAGGCACACCATCTGGCCCTGGCGCACCACCGCACACCACAGGCGGGCACACACGTCCATGCCGGGACACACGGTGTACTCAGGCCCGAACGTCAAGTTGCATTGCTGAGTGGCATCGTAGGTTTGTCCTGGGAGTTCTTCGGGGCCCAGGATCTGCTTTCGTGGTACGTCTAGCAAACAGTTTCCTACAACAACAAAGATTGATCTCTGCTCGGGGTTTAGATTTTAAGCCAATGAAATCATGAATCTAAAAATGAAATGACTCAGCTGGTGTTGATGCAGGATGCACCCACACACCTGCAGTATCAGGCTCTGGAGAAGGGACCCCTCAGGGGGTGAGGCTTGGTGCCTCCTTGCTCCAGAACCTTCCATTACCCATGGGTGATAGATATCTCTACCAACTCTGTAGTGGTGGAGGAGGGACCAGCAGTGGCATGAATAAATAAAATGAATTTGCAATAATTACTTGTGAAAATAGACAATATGCTGGGCACTAAAAGAAATTTTGAATGGTCCTAGAGGAAATCAGATAGTGAGCTTAATAATAACAATAGGGAAATCGCTGTATAACTTTCAGAAATAAAATTTATCCTTGACACTCTATACCTCAATCTCCAGTTCCAACCTACTTCTTTCCTGTGTGCCTGTCACAAGCTTCCTTTCCACTGATTTCACAAACAATAACCGAGGTGCTACACCTCATTCCTGCACTCACTCAAAAAGCATTTGTTTGGCATTTACAATATTCTAGAAAAGTACATTAGATAACACTCAAGTAATACAAAAATATGACCAGGCTCTATCCCTTCAGATCTTCCAATAAAAAGAATAATATAGTCTAAGTCAATAATTTCTCCCAGGCCAATAAAAGTGACAATAGAAAGCTGTTAATATGCACAGAATGGAGGAACAATGAGAGAAGAAAAGCAACACTTTTTGACTATTTCGGAACAAAACAGTCTTCATACTCTTTTTTTTCCATTGTGTCTGTTAGTTAATGGAATTGGCATTTGTTGAGTGTGGTAATGCATCAACTAAAACCACAGTGATGTCTCACTGTATCACAGATGGGAGTGTGAGGGCAAACAGGAGTAGTCCACAGAACCTCAAACATGGCAATGAAAATTCAGAAGCTGAAATGTGCATCCTCTCCCCAAAAAGAATCCTTACCCAGTGAGTTGCTACCAGAGATTTTTCTCTTATCATATACACATGTATAAATACTACAAGTCAGCTTCTATATTTTTTTAAATTTGATTTTAGGATTTATATGCAGGCTATAACAGCAATAAGAATAATAACAAATATTTGTTATATATCTGCACTATTCTTAGTTCTTTTCAGGTATTTGTTTACTTAATCTTCATGAGATCCCTGTGAGGCAGGTTCATTTATTACATTTGTTTTACAGATAAGGAAACTGAGGAACATAAAAGATCAATTACCCAAGGCCACACAGCTGTTAGGATTTTGTAGTCAGAGGCTGTTTTCCTCATTGCAGACCATATTGCTTCTAGTGAACATGTGGATAGTTGTCTTATTTCATTGCTGAAGGGTAGGCTTGGGTAAGGATTCCTTAAATGGGAACTTTTGTGCCTAATGGTAGAAACATCTGGTCTAAAGTTTAATCCTGATGCAACCCTAGATGGCTGAGTGTTCTTGGCCAAGTTAGTTAATCTTTCCCTAATTTATTTTCAAGACCTCTGAAATGTTTCCCTTCTCATTATGATTCTACAAAGGTAAAATCAGCTAACAAAGAAATTAAGAAGACCAAACAGTATGAGACGATAATTGGTTCTATTCTCAAAATATTTATCAAACTTTTAAGTGTTTCAATTATTTTACAGAAAAAAATAACATTCAAATCCTCAATTCCACTGAGAATAGAATATTCAGCACATTTTAACTATACTGTAAATGTTTTTACAACTACATTCAAGTTTCTTCAAAGTGAATACCTTAAAATTTGTTGATCTAGGATGGATGCATTATATGAAAATGAATAAAAAGCAAAGTTCCCATTTAACTTCTGAGCCAAAGCATTTGAAGAGGTAAAACTTCTTAACATAAGCCAGCAAAAGCATTAGAAATAAGCTTCCAGCCAAAGAGAACTTGGGGAGAAAAACACCAAGCTAAAAGAAAAACATCAACATCAAGTCAATAGGAAAGAATGATAGTAAAACCTCCGTTGGTTTTGTTTACAGGACAGAGTAAGATAAGGCACTTTAGAACTCCAGGGACAACGTTATCTTCATTGCTGCATATAAAGGAGCACCATGGTGTGTAAATCAAGCAGTGCTTAGCAGACTGCTGACTTAGAAGATTGTCAACAAACCGCTGAGTCAGCAAGAATGCTTTCCAATTCTTCAAAAGTGCTGCTTTAAGAATTTTTTGAAAAATTTTACTGAAAAGCACTGACCTTAAGAACTGGGTAACTAAATATTAGCTGGCAAGTCTTTATCATGTGAGGGTGCATGTGACCTGGGTCTACTTCATTTATCTCCAGGCAAAGTAACCCACGACCTCACTAAAGGCACACAGCTACACAGAGCCGCCATACCTCACCGGTTGCTGCCAATGAATGAGAAGAAATGGATAACACAAACAATCTGAAATCAGCTTCCAACAGGGAGGCTTCAAGATGTGGAATCCCTTTACAAAGCTTAATCCAGAAATATAATTTTTTTAAAAAATAAATACACAATTGCTTTGCTTCGAAAAATAAGATGTTACCAGTTCCTTATTTTTCCCCTTACAGGGCAGGATTTGGAGGTGGCATTTTCTTGCTTAAAATGAAGTGATTGATTTCAGAATTGCCATCAGTTTGTTGTCCTACTGTTCTCAGTAGAAGAATGTGTTGCTGCATCAATTTCTCTTTACCCTGAAACATACAGTCTATCCATTTCAATTTCTGTTGAATTATGTCCATTTACACAGACATCTCTAGCAAATGGCAGGCTCCGACTCGTGCCAAGGAACAGCAGAGTGAACAAATCAATATCAGCCTGATTCTGTCTCACAGTATGAAATATTGAAAATCTAAGTAATAGTGGAATGGATATGCATGCTCCATTTTTAAAAATGTGTACAGTTTGAGGGAGGAGTGACAGAGGAAACTGATCAACCTTTTCGCATCTTTTATATTGATCTGTAAAGGGACCCAAACTACAGCTGACTTTTCTTTGCTTGCTTTGCACTTACTCTCAACCACATCTTCATAGCGACATCACACGTATTCTAGTTTATCCTGGTCTGAAATTCTATCTGGGCTTCCCTGCCAACATTTTGTCTGTCTGTTCCACAAATTGCTAAGTTGCTTCTTTCTCCCATTCTTTCATTGGCTTTAATATGTTGTATATATAATAGGACAGTGTATTTTTTTAAAAGGTAGAATAGTACATCTTTGTTTTTATCATCCATGTTAAGCAAAGTGTTTAAAATAAAGCAAAATGCTTAAAAGGAAATGCGATGATTTGAGATGAACAGACAAAGAATCTGGCAGTCTTTCCACGGCCCCTGAAGTTCACCAATGGTGATGGAAAGTACACCAGGTCTCCAGGAAATAGAATGGAAAATCTCTCTTTTTTTTCAATCTTACCTCTATCACTAATTGTCTTTTTGATTCATGATTAATGGAAATTATTGGTTAAGGATTAATGAATGGAAACTAATGGATTATGGTTACTATTCTTAATCCTTTCATTTTTCTTTCTTATTCATAGCACTGTAGTTATTTCAGTCTACTCCTCCTTGTCCATATACAAGAAATGCACTTAAGCATTGGCCCAAATATCCATGGCCTTAGAGAAATCAATGAATGCTCCTAACCAAACTCAATCAAAGCAGCATAACCACATCTGATCTCCCCTTTTGCTTCCTATCTCCATGTCCCTGCCTTTGTAACACTTCTTTTAGGTCTTTACTTGAATTTCTGCTGTTAAGAGAGATACTGGTGCATTTGCCTACTCTTTGATGAGTCATTTTGGGCCCAGTGATAGTTAAGTAAACAAGGGCACTGGCAAAGGAACAGATTGTTGACCAAAAATAATTGAAGGGGTCTGATTGTGAAGCTCTTAGGTGCATGATATACACTGTTGAGCAGATGTAATGACAAGGAAATTAGACTAAAAATTTTCCGTGATATAAGATGACGCAAAGGTTTTGAAAAACACAGTCGACCAGAATCTTAAAATTTGTGTCTCATTTGCACACTCTCTTAATATTTTTATTATAAAAACTAAGATACAGCTATAAAAGACTTTAATTAATTCCATCTAAGAGACTAGTTGTTTAGTACTTGGTGCTAGCATTGCAGTCTACAGGTAAGAAAGGATTCAGGATGGGGCCGGCACCATGGCTCACTTGGTTAATCCTCTGCCTGCAGCGCTGGCAACCCATATGGGCACCGGGTTCTAGTCCTGGTTGCTCCTCTTCCAATCCAGCTCTCTGCTGTGGCCCGGCAGGGCAGTAGAGGATGGCCCAAGTGCTTGGGCCCTGCACCCACATGGGAGACCAGGACAAAGCACCTGGCTCCTGGCTTTGGATTGGCACAGCGCCGGCCGTGGCGGTCATTTGGAGAGTGAACCAATGAAAGGAAGACCTTTCTGTCTGTCTCTCTCACTGTCTATAACTCTGCCTGTCAAATAATAATAATAAAATAACCCAAAACATTAAAAAAAAAAGAGAGAGAAAGGATTCAGGTAACTGTGTTTTCCAACAGCATTTCATATCAAAGACCTGTGTTCAATAAATGGTTATAAGATAAGCTCTTTCAAAATGCTACAAATTAACTTTTCAAAACTGTCTATGATTCTCTCCAGCAGCTGAGGTTGCAGGTGTTCTCATGCTGTGTCTACGCAGATGGTGGCCTTAGTCATCACCGAACGTTGTGGATGTGGCTACAGCAGACACAGCTATCTGTTCTCTTCTCAAGGTTATTAAACGTTTGAGAAAGGAAATGCAATAATCTGCTTTCCTTGCACAGTTTCTCCACCATTGCTTACCTTTGTTTTCGAGGATCACACTCCCAGCCAAGCTGCCTAGAGCTAACTTGTATAAACTGTCTCCAAGGATCTTGGCCAGGGTAGCAGGGTCAGGGTGGGGAATCTTCCAAGACATTGCTTTTCTTTGCTGGAATCAGAAATCTGCCTATACAGTTACTTTCGAGGGTGCACTCTGACTTTTCAGCCATACCTAACTGATGCATAGCTCTTGTTGGAACCAAATCAAGAAACACTCAGTATTAATGAGTTTAAATTTGGCAGTGGCTGAGTGCTACAAAAGTCCAGCTACTTATAGCTAATAATTTTAAAATTAAATCAAATGCTCTGAATTTAATTTTGCTCCAGGACCTCAGGTCTCTAGCATTTCTGGAGGTGGGGAATATGGAGTGGGGATATGATATTACATATAAATGGAATGTCAAGATAATGTACTTTTAAGACAGTATCCATTTTAAAATAGCAGTTGCTTTGTTGATTTTATAAAGAGGTAGCTTTAGGGATCATGCACACATACTAGGGTTTTCTACCTTGTGGAAAACCATGCTACAGCAAGATGTTATTATATTATAAAGAGTTTATTTATTTATTTATTTATTTTGCTTCTCCCTTATAGTCAATTGATACCACTTCTTGAGCTCAGTTCACCTGTCCGAAGTATTCTCCAATCCTATGACTACTTTGTTAGTGTGGGCAGGTATTGTGGTGCCTTGGGTTAAACTGCAGCTTGCTACACTGCTTCACTGATCAGAGCATGAATTCTAATCCTGGTTACTCTGCTTCTGATCCAGCTCCCTGCTAATTCACCTGGGAAGGCATTACAGGATGAGCAAAGTAATGGGTTCCTGCAGCCCACATTGGAGGCACAGAATGACTCCTGGCTCCTACTCTCCGCCTTACCCAGCTCTGGCTGGAGCAGTCATTTGGAGAGTGAACCAGTAGATGGAAGATTCCTTCTCTGACTCTGTCTCTCTCTGTCTCTTTTTCTCTCTCCCTCTCTCTCTCTCTCACACACACACACATGCACATGTACTAGCTCTCTTTCTCTCCTTCTCTTTCTGTCTGTCCCTCCCTGTCACTCTGCTTTTCAAATAAATAAATCTTTAAAAAATTATTAGTGTAGAGCAATGTTTAATTTGTTTTTCATTATTTTGACATTACTTTTGTCACTACAGACTGCTGATAAAATAAAATAATGTTTTTTGGTTAAAACAAAAAACGGACTAATCAAGTCAACATATTCAAAAGAGAGAAAGCCTAGAGTTTAATCATGAAAATTCTCTGTCTAAAGAATTTGGTAACTGAATTTATTATTTATTCAATATACTCAGAATTTTTTTTTTAAGTCAGGCAAATGTATACAACCTATTTATACTGAAAGTATGTCCTCAGTTATTCTCTGTGCTCAGTGCTTTGGAATAGAATCCAAAATGTAACAGATAAGTATATTTGTTGTAAAATTTTTAAAAAATAAGAGTAGAGACATCTTTAAATATAGACCCATTTTTCAAAAATTAAGACAATGGTGAAAGGATATTTACTGCACAGAAAGTAAAATCATAAATTCCACAACCATGGAATCATTTAAAAATTATGGCAATGAGGAACAAAATTGTGCACAGCATTGTAATTAGTTGACCTAATACTTGCACAGGAAAAAAAACTGTACCATTTAACAGTAAGTATTTGCTGTTTTAGCAACTAAATCCATTCAATTAGTGATTCAAGGTTTAACTCAAGCTTTTGGAATGTGTAATGTGTGATTTTGAAATTAAATATTAATGCTATTTCATTTTCATAAAACTGAAAAAAAGAAAATGAAACAGTAAGGGTAATATTAACAGTGGAGAATTAAGATTCTACTCAAGAGGATCTTTGTTAAATATTGGTTTGATCAATATAGTTAGGAAAATAATCAAGTAAACATTAATTTCAAGACTTTAGCATCCTTCAATTATATGGAACTAAACATAAAGTTACAATTTTATTACTGATAAAAGAAAAGCCTATCGTAGTGAGTATCAATATTGATTTTAAGTTTTTACAGTACTAGGATGTTCTTTTCACTCGTAAAGAACACATTTTTTATTGAGAAAAACTTTAAAACAGTTTGGACCTTGATTGCTTTTAGGAACAGAAATGTTTTAAAAGTTTTATTTATTTTTATCTGAAAGATAAAATATGTGTTTGTGTGTGTGTGTTTTGTGTGTGTGTGTATGTTTGTGAGAGAGATTATCTGTTATTTCATTCCCCCAAATGCCTGTAACAGTGGGAGCTGGGTCAGACAAAAAAGAGGAGCTGGTATCTGCAATCAGGTTTCCACATTTCCACATGGGTGGCAGGGATCCAACCAATTGAACCATCACTGCTGCCTCCCAGGGTCTACATTAGCAGGAAACTGGAATCAGGAGCAGAGCCAGGACTTGGCACTCTGGTATGGGATGCAGGTGACCCAAGCAACACCTTAGCTGTTAAGCCAAACTCGTGCCCTGGGAAAAGGAAATTTAAATAGTAGAAAGCAGCTAAGGTATTGCAAGTTCACCATTAAAGCAGTCAAAATGAGTTAATGACAGATTTTGGCTACACAATATTGAAGAACTAGGTATCTGAATTTTTTGTATGAAACAAATTGAATTGATAAATCTGTTTTGATGACATAATCAGAGTTTAAGATGACCAACACATGAACAAATTATGAAAATATTAATTCATAAACTTTGTAGAACTGGGAAAAAAGTTACCACAGAATATCTTTACCCAAGTTTAAACTATACATCCTGAAATAATTTTTTGGGAAATTATTATGATCAAGAATTTCTTTGAGGGGCCAGCATTGTGGTAGAGCGGGTAAAGCCAACACATGCAATGCTAGCATCCCATATGGGTGCCAGTTCCAGCCCTGCTGTTCCACTTCTGATCAAGCTTCCTGCTAATGCACCTGGGAAAGCAGAGGAGGATGGCCCAAGTGTTGGGTTCTTGCCACTCATGGGAGAGACCCAGCTCCAGCACTTTTGGCTATTTGGAGTGTGAACCAGCAGATAAAAGATCTCTCTCTCTCTCTCTCTCTCTTTTTCTCTCTTTATTGTGACTCTGCCTTTCAAATAAACAAATTTTTAAAAAAAATATTTGTTTTATATTCAATGTAATGACTAGTTTTAGAAACAGATCAATTTCAGGGGAGCAAAGAAGAAATACGAATATGCCTTTTTTTTTATTTTTTTATTTTTTGACAGACAGAGTGGATAGTGAGAGAGAGAGAGACAGAGAGAAAGGTCTTCCTTTGCTGTTGGTTCACCCTCCAATGGCCGCCACGGCCAGCGCGCTGCGGCCGGCGCACCGCGCTGATCCGAAGGCAGGAGCCAGGTGCTTCTCCTGGTCTCCCATGTGGGTGCAGGGCCCAAGCACTTGGGCCATCCTCCACTGCACTCCCTGGCCACAGCAGAGAACTGGCCTGGAAGAGGGGCAACCGGGACAGAATCCGGCGCCCCGAATGGGACTAGAACCCGGTGTGCCGGCGTCGCAAGGTGGAGGATTAGCCTATTGAGCCGCGGCGCCAGCCGAATATGCCTATATTTGTAAGACCAGAAACTGGACCAGTGTGATTTCTGAAGTTCTCTTCCAGCTCTTATGTGTCTATGCTCCTGGGTTTCCAGTCTTTTAAGGTAATAAAGGATGCTAGGAAATCTGCAACAATTTGTTGTAAAGATTATTAAGGTATCAGGATATGCTATTTCTAGAAACTGTGACTTCTTTATTTGTATATAATTTGTTGTATTATACTTGGTTTCATAGAATTTAATAAAGTATACTCTTCTCCTGAACTGTTATCTAAAGAATAAAGCCAAAGATTTTCTTTTGAACTGCTTAATGTGTTTTCTCACCATTCAGATCACTTTTTCATTTCCATTCTGCTGTTTTTACTCCACTTTCAGGAGAATCTGCTGTCTGGATGAAATAAAATTCTTTCGGTCAATGCAAACGTGGAGAACTTCCTTCCTTTGCTTTCTGTTGCCATGAAGAGAATCCGGTGGAACTGTCACCTACCCCTTAACCACACCCCTATAATAAGCATGTAACAAATAATTCTGAGAGTCATCTTAATAGCAGGGAAACCAACATGTCTGCCAAAGTTCTCACAGGAAGCTGGTGGTGAAAGAAGGAATAAGAGCCAGGCTTTCAGAGCACCAGCGAGGCATTCTGTGTGGTCTCCCACACTGTTTCTCTTTTGAACTTTGCAATTCCAGAGCAAAAATACCATAGCTGCAATGCCACCAAGGACGCTGGCATTACGTGCCAAGAGATGGTCAGCTCCCTTGCTCCTTTCTCTCAGAGTGTCTCAACATCCATTGTCTAACAGGGCTGGATGATACTGTGTGGAGGCTATAACGAAGAAAAACTCCGAAGAATCCCCAGTGATTTGTTTCCGGGACTACACGGTCCTGAATGATACATACCATGGCCATCATCCAGGAATTCCGTGATGGTGGCTGAGGTGCACTTGGACCAGGGCTTGGAGGCATCAATACTGGTGAGGATGGATGACATTAAGCGCTTGTCTTCTGTGGAGCCAAAGTTCTCTTCACAGAATTTGGAATCGTCATGAGAGAGGCCAAGGAGATGTCCTAGGGAGAGAACAGAGAATGTGAAAATAGTAGGTGATTTTGCATTTCTGTGTTTCCACACAATTGCACTAGCACATGATTTTTTTTTTTCCCCAGGTGGTAGATGAGTTCATTTTTAATACCTTATCACCCAGACGCTGGATCCGCAGGGAAATAAAAGCTGCATGTTATTAGTGAAATAGTTACTTTTGGTGAACATTGAGATGAAGATTTGAAAAACTCAACTCAGGAGAGGATGATTGCTCTCTTCATCTGGTCCACATATGCCGTGTGACATGTAGAGACCAGGCCTTATTTAGAATCTAGAATCTGTGAGACAACTGTGCATTATGTCATAGCCCTCACCACATATTATTTTGATCGTCTAATTTTCTGTTTTCTCGGATCAACCATAAGCCCCACGAGATCAAAGTGCTTCTCCCCCCATTCACTGCTGAGACTTCAGTATTTAACTTAACGCCATGCAAGTTGCAAACGCTTACTAGAGGGTTTTTGAATGCCAATGATTTCTGTTTTCTTTGTCAAGGAAATACATGGCTAGCTGTGTGAGATGTGAGGATGAAAGAAAGAGAAGGGAAAATAGAGACTTTCTGGTTCCATGAAAGTGTAAACATGTTATTCCTCTTTATTCCTTTTAGTTATTTTGTGAGTTATGACTGTTTGCTAGTCTCCCAAATAAATTGCTTATTTTGAAAATATGCCTATCATGGAGTCAGTGTTGGTGCTGGGAGAGAAACAAACGTTGTTAGTGAAGTGATTGTTCAGACAGCACTCAGCCAGGTGGTATTTAGGCTGAAGCTTCCCAACCACGTTCTTGGCAACCCCAGCCTACGCCATTTCTATCACATCAAGCTAGATATTATTTCACAGAGTGGATAATTGTTATTTTATAATCCAATAAATTGCTTTTCATTACATAGTATTAACTTCCACTAATATTAGGATAAAATTACATTCTCCAATATATCTATAATGCTGCTAAAAATATAGAAATTTGAACAGTTTGTAGAAACTCTAAAAAGTAGTCAAAAATCACTCTAAGAGTGCCTTTTTAGTAAAGGTTGCTAGAATAGAATAAAAACCACTTATAAGGATGTGGAAAGTAGTATTGCCAATTGATTACTGCATTCTCCTTGGGTTCCTGATGCCAAATGTGAGTGCTCTGGCCATGCTGTCAGGAGTTCAATGCACACAAATAAATCCAACAGAGATGAAATCTTTCACGTTGCATTCCCACTACTTTTGGCCAACTCGTTAAATCACTGACACCTCATAACAAGATCGTTCACTGAGCAGCTGACTGCTGTTGCGGCTGCAATTAAGTGACTAGGGCCCAGTGACCTTCCAAGTCTCCACATTCTTAGCTATTTTTTTTTTTTCGGATATTTACTTCAATAGGATTTACTATGCTAGCAAATTTTCTCTGGGAAAATCTCCCAAATCCACTCACCTTTCCTTGGATCAGTCGCATAAATGTGCACCATACTCTAGAAAGTATGTCTCAAACAACATGTAAAAGAAGATTAGCAGGAGCTCATCCAATTTTGACTGGTGTGTTCAGAGAAGTCACAGATCCCAGAAAAATACAGAATCTTTCACTCATGTCCTTTTAAAAACTACTTACAGTTACTCAGGACATTCAACACTCGTTGTGAGTGCCCTCTAACCTTCCAGAACTTCTCAAGGTAGAAACTTTATCAGCTAGCACTGTGGGATTGGTGTGGCAATTTCACACTGGAGTTTTTTTTTCCCCTCTCTGGCATAGAAAAGAGAAAAAGTGGCCCCAAATGACCTTTGTAACACAATATTTATTTGAACCTAGGTTTCATACTTTTTTAACAAAACATTTGAGTTTTGCATTCTATTTCATAAGATAGTCCTATTTATTTAATGGAGTAATAGTCTTTTCTTCCAAATCTATATAAATTAAACTTTCCATATGCATTTTTATTATTGCATCAGGGATTTTCACTTCATTTGGAGGGGAATGATTTTGGATTTCTGATTTAAAATGCAGGCCATATGGCAAATACCAAGTATACTTTCAGGGGCCTGGGAGAATATCTCATTTTTTTTCCTTTCTACAGTGAGACAAGTCATATAATTTTAAAGATTTAAATTATGTAAGCAAGGCAGTTTACTTTTAAAATATTTTGTCATAATTTTATGAATCTTTTGGCCTGCTCTTGGGCATCATATTGTGAGTTTTATGCTTCTGAATTTGCTAATTTGTCCATGTAAGTGAATCGCTACCACAGATACATACAAGAATTCTGCCAGACAAGCTCGCCATTCTGAGCATGGACAAGTCATAGCTCCACCTCAGCCAGAACTAGAGGGGGATATGAGGGGGATATGAATTTTGTTAGCTCCCCAAGCCAGGCAGAGAAGGGCTGATTGCGGCTCATCTGGGAGAGACTGACATTTTAAGGGTGAAAAAAACATCTTGTCCTTCATGGAGAAAGGCTGTGCGATGGCTGCGAGAGACATGGGCAATTTGGAGAACACTGAAGCGCCCCCAGACACAGGAAGCCTGTTCCTGAGTGGCTGGAATCAGGACACAGAGAGAGAAAGCCCATGTGACTTCCCTTCAGAGCTGGACGGCGACTGAAAGGGAAGATCAGCGTGGGGGATGCTTGGATGCTCTTCAGGAAAGACGTGACCCACATACTGAGAGCTGTGCACAGCAGAGGGTGGATTCCAATGGGGGCCCCCCCAGACAGTTTTGCTAAGGCTTCTGATGTCAATCGGAAATTTGCCCACATTATTCAGCCTGGAAATGACAAGGTACATACAAAAGCAGCAGCTCTTTTAAAGGAGACAACGCACTATGACACTAAAAGCTCACTAACAGAGCAAATCTGGAATCTAGCGAATTTAACACCAAGTTGCTACAACCATGTATGTTGAGGAGGGGTTGTGAAGGGGAATGGGAAATTATACAGAAGACCGAGGACAGTCTCTGGCTTTGGCGACATCTGTCTTTCCAGGGAATTTGTTCATATAAACCCACAGAGATACTGGAAATGAATGGTGTGGTTTGCAGATTAAGGATTTCTGTGACAAGCAGCTTCCAACGGCATTTCCCAGCAGACAGGATTAGACATTCATGGCCCCAGAATAAAAGGGTTGGTGAAGAATATGAAGAAGTGGTGGAGAAAGTGATTACAATGCCTAAAGCAGGTTGTTGTTTTCATCAAATTGTGTTTTATGATTTTTTTTTTTTTACATCCATACAGAACAGCAGAGTGAATTGAAGGATGAAGTCTTGAAGGAGGCAGGAAAGTGGAATTCAGAAACCCAGGAAGAAAGACAATTCCTGGAGCAAGTGTTTGGTGCAGTAGTTAAGATGCTGCTATGGACGCCTGCATTCCATATCAGAGTGCCTGGGTTCGAGTCCAGGCTCTGCTGTTGACTCCTGCTTCCTGTTACTATGCACCTTGGGAGGCAGCGATGACGGCTCAAGTAATTGGATCTCTGCCCTTCAAATGAGAGATGCAGACTAAGTCCCAGGCTCCTGACTCCAGCCTGATCCAGTCTTGGTTGTTGAGAACATTTGGCGAGTGAAGCAGTGGATAGGAGATCTCCCTATCTGTCTCTGCCTCTCTCTCTGCCTTTCAAATGCATAAATGAATTTTAAAAAGAAAACAATTCTTCCCTTAGGAATATGGAGAAATATTTCTTTTTTCAGAGTCAGAGCATAGGAAGAAAAGGGTGGTGAAGATTCTCAAGAGTAAAAGAAGAGATTTGGGACAGCTCAAGCAAGCTCCCTCTGCAAAACAGGCTGAGCAGACTTCTAGTGAGAGGGAGCCACAGGGATGGACTCGTAGGGGTCTGGTGGGGGTGGGAGTGGGGTTGAAGTCATTTATAGTCAGGGTCTAAAGCTGAGTTCCCAAAGTCTTGCTTTAGAAGAAGTAGTGTTTGTGTTTGCAACCACTTGTAATCAAGAGACATGCAAAATGTGGAAAAGCAGTTTGCTTGAGCAATTCTGTTCACAATACTCTCTTTCTTAGTGAATCCTTAATTCTTGATGATATAATTGGAAACTTCTCACCTAAAATCCTGAGGCAATGAAAAACCAGTCATTGACAGAATCTGAATTTATGTACTCTAAAAAGAGGAGAGAGAGGGACAGAAGCCAGAGTGAAATTTCAAGAATAATATAATTGTCTGAGCCAGGAGTGTTTTCCCAAGGAATGCCCCCCTCAGGACTGTATTCATTTGCTAACTATAATCATTAGTAAAAGTCAAATTGTAAATTGTAGGTGCTTTTGTAGAAAATGTTGGTATATTCTTGACAGATATTAAGTGATGTCATAAATACAACTGTCCTGTTAATGAGTGCCCTTTTCACCAAGTAACACCAGGATGGAGTTTGTCTGAACAACACTAACCAAATGAATTTAATGGTAAATTATGTCTCAGCAATGTGTATACACTCAAGAGTCTGAGTGATAATGTTAACACAGAAATGGGGAACAGTTACCTGATAATGCTTCTAGTGTGATAATTCTCTTTAAGATTGACATATAGGTGCTATTTCATTTAAAATTTTATCTTTGATATTCCCAATATGGAAGAATGTGTGGCCTCCTTAAATTTACAAGTGAATCTAATATTAGAAAGAAAATCTGTGATAAAATAGACATATTTCCTCCACAGGCAAGTATTGGTTCAGCTTCTAATTCAACTTAGGTATTACTGTACTCTTCAGTATGACTTAGAACATTAACTTTAGGAAGGAAATCGCTTGTTTTTCTAAACTTTGGTGTGCAAGTTAAACAGAATTTCACAGTCTTGTCTCCTGATTCCAAAGTGACCAATGGTCAAGGGGACACAGCACCACATTCTAAAAAATGTTACAAGCAGCTCTGTAATGTGTTTACTTGGGAACGCACTGCATGGATGAAGCATCTGTTTCTTAATGAAGTCATGTTTTTATTTTACCTCATTTTCCAGCTGGGATTATGGAGGTGGAAGACAGTCTTGCCAGGGTTGAA